TATTTTCAGCTTTTACACTGAAAATATCTGCTGAGGCTGAAAACGACACAGATAAAAGCAGTGGAGAATGAACAATGAGTTAAAAGATGCTCATTATAGTTACGAGGAAGTGCAATGAGTCTCTGCGGGTTCATCACTACGTGTGACGCCTTTGACGTTACATGCAACAGCGTGATTCATTGTTCGTATAAAGATACTGATTATAGCTGCTTTAATTTACGCTGTGTGGTGAAACCAAAGACACTTTCCACGCGGTCAAAATTTTCCCACTATGGACAAAAAGTAAGTAGCTTACGAGAAAGCTTGTGGAGTGAGAGGACTGTAAAGAGAAAGAAAGTGACAGAGAGGGAGAGAAAGAAAAAGCCAAAAGAGAAAGAATTGTGTTTCCGCTCCCTGCCATTCACTGTTTACTCCATCAATGCCTCTCTGTCCCTGTGTGTCACCACACAGGGCCAAAGGCTTTCTCCCTCCGTCACTTGCACAGACATAAATAGCCAATTTTTCTTTCCAACTGTGACATTTGCATTTGGTAAATCTGCATTCTGTGCAGTCAGTGAGCTGCATGTGACAGAACCTCTACTTTCTATAGTTTTAACTCTTTTTTTCTGTTCACTTGATGATCTTTTTATACTAGTCATTTAAAACAATGCACATATCCTTTCTTTTAATATACTCTATAGAATAATCAACCATCTTAACTCTTATTCATGCAATAGCGCTTCCTTATTGCTGTGGGGAACTGGTGTTGTGTTCGATTCGACTGACAAAGACCATTTTGTCAGAAGTGCCTTGTTTGTCACGGATGCTGGCGAAGGAAAGCAAGAGGTAGTTGCACAGGAAACACTTGTTTAATTTTGTAACTTTGGTAAGGAAACTCTTACTGAAACGCTTGCGTGCAAGTGCTTTTTTTCTGTTTTTTTCCCTCTGTTTCACACAGGCACAAAGACACACTACGCTGGCCGCGAATGAACAAAAGTAAAATCCAAATGCGGTGCCAATTAACCTGCCTATAAGTAAAGAATCAAAACTCTTGTACTCTATGATGTTGGCAGACAGAGTGCTGTGTACTGAGACTGCTGTTATTTCCAGAATAAAATGTCCTGAAACCTGCTGTTTTCTTTCAGTCCTCAGCAGGCTGAACATTTTGACATACTGAGATTTAAAAATTCAGAACTGCAGCCTGTGAAACTTCAGATTCAGAACAGGTCTATATGGAAACTACACATGCTGTCTATCTCAATACATAAACAAACATAATGTTAGCAGCCTGCTGTAATAAAGCTCTCTACAGATGATCCCTGTATACTGAAGGGGCCTAATTCCTAGGGAGCAATCTTTGTCATTCTCATGTCAGTTAAACAGCGAGGTCTGTTATTACTTGACCATGGTATGATCCCCAAATATTCTGATCTAATAGATCTGCTTTTTTTTTATAAATGAGGTTTGTGCTGCAGGGATGATGCATTTTTGCAGGCCAACCTGGAAGTTAACATCACCCTGGTTCCCTCAACAAAAAAGCAGTGGAATTTGTACGTTGGCTTTTGGATCACTGCAGAAAATACACTCTATGAGAAACAAAAGTTTATGATATTTACACATTTAGTTAAGATAATCTTCACAAAAGAATACCACTTTTCAGATTTTTCAAGCCTAAATACAATCGCCAGAAATAAAGAGCTAATGTAAGGCTATAAACAAACTACACCAGGGTCCGATTACTTAAACGTATATGCTAACATATTAGCCATGTCAGCTTTATAACGTGAGGCAGGAGGTAGAGCACATGCAGGTGGTAAATGCATGGGCTTTTAAGCTTAGAGAAAATCTTGGGTTTACATTGGAGTGAAGTTACGACATTGTAGCATCAGTAGCGTGTGGCTAACTTAGATGTTATCCTCTTACTCACGCATCTCAGCCTCAGTCCCAGGGGACAGCCACAACTTGAGTTGTTACTACACATTTAGATCCTGCAGATTGTGCACACTCATGGGATTTTCTTTCAAGTCCCCCCAGCCTGGTTGCACCTCATGTGTCTATTTCAACAATGCACTCTCTTTATAAAGTATCGCTCCTTACCAAATGGCCTCGGCTGGATGGGAAAGATTTAACCCTCCACTATGTGCCACCAGGCAGCGACGTGTGAAGAGTCCTTGGCCAACACACTGCGGAGGTCTGAGGGTTAAGTGTTCGCTCGCACCCTGATGGACCTTCCTGCTCTCACATCATTGCCCTGATGAAAATGAATCCATGAAACATGGTTCCTGATTTCTTCACGGCTCATGTATGCATATACGTACCCAGGCACGGAGTTACAAACACATCATTCAGCTGACATAACACTCAACCATTTAAAAAATATTTTCCTTCTAGTCTTCAGTTTTACACCTTCCCCACCCCTTCCTATTCACACATAAAACTATACTCATACACCCTGACAGGTACTACATCTTTCTTTTAGTTAGTTAGTCTAGTCGAGTGGATATTTTCCCCAGGCCCCTGATAAGACCTGTATAAATAGTTGAGCAGGGCATTATATCACTTTGCTATTGGGAAAAAATGGAAAGCATTCAAGCGTGTGGAGGATTAGTCGATATTCAATTAACCCAGGCAGACAGTCATGGTGACTGTTTATCAATACCTCTTTTTAACTGCACACCCTTGGCACACTTAATTAAACTTCCCATTAATAGCTTCAAACAAGTAAGCAAACTAACAACACAAACACTCGGCCAAGTTTGGAAAAGTGAGCCAAATCCATAGAAGCACTGGTGGGAGAGCTCGTTATTTTAAGGGAGTCAGCCAAGTTCCTGTACTGATCTAAGGTCTCTGCCACGGCCATACATACAGAGAGAGGAGGACTTTGTGTGTTTTGGACACGCCACAATTATGCATCCTCAAAGTATGTGTGTGGTTATTGATGTTTATCTGGGACACATCCCGACCCTTGACCCTGAAATCATTAATTTCCTTGCATTCCACAGTTAAGCGTATGAAAGTCCTAGCTCGTATCGCTGAAAGCAGACAGTGGTTGTGGTTTCACATGAAGCAAAACTCAGCTGTGACATTGTTTAAGAAAACCAGTTGCAGAGGAATAACAGGAGCCATCTGTGTAAAGTAAAAATCGGAGGCCCCGTGTCACAGGCTGTGCTACATTTGTCCTTTTGCTAATCATCTACAAATCAGGGCCAGTGCACTAATCGGGGACAGTGATGTGACTGTCTAGACGATGATAATGATCTGTTAGCGTGATGTGATCAAACGTGCCAGTGTTTGTGTAGATTTCCTCTAGTATGTGTAATAATTGTCCTGTTTGTGGATCATTAGTTGTGAGTTGAACAGCAGAGATGCTGATAGACATGACAGTAGGATTATGTGCTCAAAAGAGACTAGAGAGACAGAGAGAGGATAGATGGAGAAACCAGGCGAAACAAACAGTGACATGCAGCAAGAGAATCACTGTCATGATACTGTATGTGTACTGGTGATGAACAATAGGATAAAATCATTCATTATTAATGATTTTTAATCATGCTAACAGTGATGGTAATATCGGCCGATCGGCCAGTCCACTACTACTGGTGACTTTTGTGTCCTAACAAAGCAGTGTACCCTTGTTGTGGGCAGTCTTATATTATTTTGTGCCGATAGATATTACTATTGTAATATAATATGAAAGTGTTTTCAGGTTATGAAGTATCTGACTCATCAAGATGCTCACCAATGCAAAAATCTTGTAAAACCAACATTGCCATAAAGTAGTCCTGGGTTTATATTGTCCTATCATTCAACCCTGACTGTACAACGTACAAGAGCTGATGAGCTGAAGTAGGCCAGCTGAGGCCACACTAATGGCTCCCTGTCTGATAGCCGCAGATTATCTGTAACACTGCTACTGTACAGACTTCATTACAAAGCGGGGTGCAGTGAGCAAACCACTGGTGCGACTAGCAAATTGTCTGTCTCATTCAGTCATCAGTCTTTCAAGCTTGCTGTGCCATCTTTGTATGTCTCTGCCTGCCATTGTGTGAATACCAATGAGCGTTGAGCCGTTATCACCCAAGCCACAGATGACAGAATCTGAGTGATGTATCACTCATCTACTTCAGTTTCTTGCCAGACACAGGATGTGTTTTCTTACTTGGGAAATTAAATGTCAAATGCAGATTCAAAGTTTTGATGGCTCAGCAATATCCAGGATTGTTTTAAGTTAAGATGAACGGTCTACCGCCAACCCCCCATCCCAAATCTCTAACCTTTTGTGCGTGTAATGGAATTTTACAGCTGTACAGATAAGAACTGATGGCGGTGTTGTTTGTTTGCAGGGCCCATGGATAAGCTAAAATATAATCCTTCCAACTGTTTTTGGTAGAGAAGAAGTAAAGCTCCACTACGTTCTCGCCACAGCTCAGTTGTAATTCTCCGGGCCTCCCCTCTTTGTGTTCAGCCCATTAGAGGTCTGTGCTTCTGTCCTCTCCTAAGTTTGCTCTCAGTGTTGAAATGTTTTCCCCTTGGGCGCCTTGAGCCAGCCCCCTTCCCCTTCCACCGATGTGGGGGTGAGCTTTCCCAGGACAAAGAGATGAATATATAATGGCATGAAAAAAAAGAGGGGGTGGGAGAGACAAAAAGACAGCGGGTGTGTGAGCGAGCGAGAGGGAGGAAGGGAGAGTGGGAGTTGGAGTGAAAAGATATAGAGGGTTTGACAAGTGCTCGTCAAAGGGTTTAATACTGCTGCCAAGCTCTTAGTGCAGGGACATGGAGAGAGGATGAAGTAGAAAGAAACAATCTGTACTTTTCCCCTATTACAGATCTGATTGCTAACTCATTACAGACTCCATAGGGTGTGGGATACACAACTGTAGTTAGAGAGTTGCTCGAGAGCAGCTCAGTCCATCTGCGTCCCCCCCACCTCTCCCCTGGTCCTCCAGCACATGGTACAGTCCATTTAAAAGGCTGCATGTCATCTCAGTGTGTGCTGGGTCCTCTCTGAGAGCAGCTGCTCACAGCACATTCTCCTTGGCGGGAGCACTCACTTTCCCCTCCGCCTGCTGGGCTGCATCTCTTTTTCTCCTCCGTCTTTTTACTCTCTGTCTCTCCGCTCTCTTTGCTTTCACTCTTCCTCTCTCTTTTTTAAGTGCTCATTTCTTTTCTCCTTTGCCCTCCACACACAGGCACACATGCTTTCCCTGACTGTGTAGCGCTTGGTCACACAGATGTTATTCTTTACGCAGTAACAGGTAGACATCATCTTTGTGCTGCTGAGCGGAGACCAGGAGAGGGACCGGCGTTTTGGCTTTTTATCTTTCTTTTTTTTTCTTTTTTCTTTTGTATATGTGCGAAGTAAACTGTGAGAGAAGAAGCACAGGTGGAGGAGAAGGAGGAGCAGAGGGGGATAAGAGGGTCTTAGCTTCACCCCCTCTAATGCTCCACTTGACACCATGCTGCTCTGTGTGGATTTGGTCCTCAGGGGAAAATCCTTAAAATGATGGAAGACAACAAACAGCTGGCACAGAGGATTGATGGGGCCATCCAGTCCGCCAGTCAGGAAGTGACCAATCTCCGCTCCGAGCTCTCTGCTACCAGCCGCAGACTGGCAGAGCTGGGTGCCAGCAGCCCCCCTGCCTTGGAGAACCACCACCAGCACAACCACCACGATGACAGCCTCCACTACCGGGGTGAGTGTCACAGCATGTGTGTGCTCGATCCCTTGCCTCGCTGTGTGTGTGTGTGTGTGTGTTTGAGAGTGAGAACATGAACATGTGTGACTGTTTTGAAATCAACAGTGGGAAATATCTGGGGAATGTGCAGAGGGCAGCCTAAAATCATCCCTCCCATTCCACCACTGACTTATTTTTCCCCTAAACTCCACACCAGAAGGACAGTGGAAAAGGCAGCACACTGAAAGGAAAAAGAACAAGAGACAGACTGAGTTTTGTTATTACATGGGAGGGGTTGGGGTTAGAGAGCGTGGGCCAGAGCCTGTCCGGGTTTGGTTTCCCAGGCAGCAGTTGGGCTCCTCTGGGGCTGCACTCCCTCCAGCTCTGGCTCCTTCTCGGCTTTCTCCCCGAGTCTGGCAAGGAGTCTTAAACTGCGCTGTAGGCCCAGGAACTGTATGCCAACATCTGAGATAGGAGCTGGCGACACCATGGCACCGTTACTTAGCTGGATGTGATGCTTTTAACCTGTAAATGCTTTAAACTGATGTTTTCAAGCGACTGCTCATTCTGGCTTCATTGACGCAAAAATAATTTGATCTGGCCTCATGCCATGCTTTCTGCTATAAGTGATAACTTAGAGACCACGAAAAAGGTATTGCTTTATATTTAGTTGTTGCATGACTAATGATGCTTGTTTGTAGTTTTCATCTTTACGCCTATTTTATGATTGCTTCAGTTTGTGTAAGACGACGGCCTGTGCCTGATTAAACCTTCTTACGACACATTCTGCTAAGCTACTTTTATAATAGCTGACATCTTGGATTCATTAATGATCAGTTTTATTTAGTTTGATTGGAACATGAGCTGGGGGTGGGGGTGGGTTCTTGTTTGCCTGTTGCCCTGTCATGTGAACTGAACAGCAAAACCCACAGTTAGTAATCACATCCATTTATTGAGCAGCTAATTAGTCCTGACATATTGAAAGCTTCCAACTGAATACAGGATGACATGACAGATTAAACTTTTCATAGCATGCGTGGACAGCAAGTTCGGCATGCTGAAACTCTGAAAAGGCCACAGAAGAAGAAAAAGACCTCAAGTTGCAGGGTCTTTTGCCTCGGGGTGTCTGTGTCCTGCATTTGACTTGGATACGTTCAGAAGCCTGTGGATTTTTGAGATCATACCCTACCAAGCAGTTCGCTGTCAGCCTCCATTAAATGGCTCCCCGTGTTGGGCTTATGAAGTTCAGCAGCAGGTGATTCCTCTTATCTGCTGCTGGCGCTCAAGGCTGACGGCTGATCTGTGTGAAATGTGGCTTAAGAGCGATGATGCACTCGTTTCTAACTACGCGTTCATGTGTGCATCATGGTTACCGTATGTATTTTGCATTCTTTCAGAGTGATGGTTGTGCTCATCATCAGGAATTATTAACTCTGTGTCTTGACAAGATGCAGTTAAAGGGGTTCCCCACTAATTTTACACATGGTGCCACAGTGATGTCAGCAGGGTTGTCTCAGTTTGGGCTTGGAGATGATAAATTCAGGAAGCCTGTTTAACAATCTTGGTGGTGTGGAGTTAGAAAGATGTGGGAGTTACCAGGAAGGGAGGGTTTAATGAAAAGATGCTATAAAGTTGCATCATGGGAAACTTTGCCTGCAGTGATTTTGGAGCTTGAAGCATACAAGGGACTAAATGTCAGGATGTCTCAGCCTTTGCTGGTTTAAGTTTGACCATTGAAACTTGAGCCAGGTTCAAGTTAATTGCTGGATAACTTGGACAACAATGCATCAGTGAAGTGGCATTTTTTTTCCACACAGGGCTTAAGTTGGTCTGAACATGGCCCTTAGTCTTCAGAGATGGAATAACATGGCTGCAGTGGGTTACGTTAGTGTTAGTGTTAGTGTTAGTGTAGGGTTATGTTATGTTGTGTCCATCCTCCTTGCTCTCTTTCTCAGTTTCTGCAGTGTGAACAGGCGGCCTCACATTCCCACATTCCTGAATGTCAGGGCAGTGATGTCATACTTCCTGTTCCCAGAGGCCAGGCCAGCAGTCAGGTGACAGATCAAGCCAAACACAGCCACACATTCCGTCCCGCACCTCCCTCCTTTACTTGAAACTGACAAATTAATGCTCACCTCCCCTGCTTAAAGAGGGATGAGCCCGAGAACCTCTTAGCTTTAAGGATGTTTTCTTAAGATTTTGAGTTTAAGATGATTCGTCTGGGAGATCTCTCCGGTTAGGCAGTTTGGTGTGTGATGAGCCAGCGTCCACAGGCTTAGGGAGATTAAATGTTCTTTAGGTGTGTATCCCTCTCCAGGCCAGGCTGTTTGTTAGTCCATTTGTTGGCTCTGCCCTGTGCAGGATCAAAGCAGCCGCACAGACAAGGTTTTTTAATATGCATGACCTGTCTTCCTGTAAATACATTACACTGAGCCAAAATGTCACTAATTTTTTGCTATGTTTCACTTCCTTGTGGCGCGTCAATAACATCTCTGACAGATGTCCAATAAGGCTATAAACATGACACTAGAGAATTCTGTAGCTGTTGGCCTTGGAGTCTGTTCTTACTGAACTAATCACGAGGGACAAGAGATTAAATCACCCAAAATTTCTAGTCACTACATCAGGATGAACGTCACTACAATTTAGCTTTTTATTCATTTTTCTCCAAGCATATCTCTATTTACAAAAGAGTGTTTTCATTTTATAGTATAGTACAGTCAATGGAAAGGTCTTTGCTTGACTGTTACAATCAACCTGCCTCCTTTTATTCAGGCCATTGACAGTAATGTATTCATCGCCAAAGTGATGACACCCTTTCATTATTGGCCCTTTCTCTTAATCCATCACATTGATGTCAAGGCCACGTTTAACATTCCTAAACGATGCTGATGTTTCACCACCAATCACCTCCAGTGCCGCCGTACCTAATGTCCGTCTGACTTGTGAGGATATCTACCTTGCACTCAATTTGTCTCAGGGAACAGAAGGAAAATATTTTGTCCTCTAAAATCAATGTGCGCTAACCTTATGGGATATTACATTATTTACACTCTTGGTAGATCAGTGCACTGCAGTCGGCTGGTGAGAAAGTGCTCATCACGGACTCATGGGAGTCTGCCAATACTAATCCATAAACCTTTCTAAAACACTACCGTAAGGCAGCTGTTAGTGACTCATACAGCATGGGGAGTATGGATGACTCTGGGCTGCTTTAAAGGAAGGCACCAATGTGCTTGACACAAAGGGTGAAAGCAGTGATATAAGTATGAATTCTCTTATTTTTCAACTGTCCGAGAGCATTATTGTCCGTCACTGTCGAGGTAAAATGAGGGGCTCAAGGTTAGACCCATAGCAATGCAAATTGGGAGGAGTAATTTCACATGTCCAGGGTTATGGAAGTAAAAGTCATTTTCTGTAGATAATGCTCTGTGACTTGCAGTTGATGCACTTCCAAGGCTTGAATCGGTAAGAATCTCATCCAGCTGAATCATCAGTACAAAAAATGAGCAATTGTGTTTGAATGTCAGATGTTGTTCATTGTCAGAAAATCAAAGGTACAAAACATAAAACTATGTAAGAGAGGTCAACTGGAACTCTCAAGGAGAGCTTAACAGAGCTGAAAACTCTGTTGTGTGTAAGAGCCAAAAGCCAAGCGGAAGCCGATGATTACGTTTTTCAGAAACGTGATGAAACATTCAGCGGTTTGAAGCAGTTCACTTTTGGATTTTGGGTCAGTTTTGCGTGAATTTGGCAACTTGAGCTGAGCGTTTGGTTGCAGTGACAAAGTGTTCTGAATCATGAAAAGGCATCTGTATCCTTCCACGTGCAGCCGGTGTCAGAGGCTCATTGTTTGTCAAGTATTAACACAACATCACAGAAAAAACATGATTTCTGAGGAACAAATTTACACAGCCATACTACAGTATTTTCAGATTATCTAGCAGAGTCTACAGTGTTTCTGTGGTATCAAGAGTTGGTGTAACTCATGCAATATTAAAGGCTTTTCATTATGCCCAGAACTCAAAGTGCCTTTTCCTTCTTGTTTGCAGTACTCATGGACCTTGACTCCATAGAGCACCATTGTTTGGTGAGCGTGACTTTTTGTAAAGGCACATTTACCTTTTTCTTACTAAGCAAAGATGCGCTCCTGTTTTTTTTCCCCTCTTTTATGTCTGTACAGGATGATGTGGAACACTGAAAATATCCTTAAAAGTAAACTTTCAAATGGGAATTTTAAAATAAATAGAAAAAAAAACTTTCAGAATCAGCGGCTTCTCCAACTTCATAACTCTATTATAGCTGCTGTTGAATCATGGCCGGATAGGATACCCATATTCAGGGATAGAGGAAGATAACGCAGCTGAAACCTTTGAAGACATCCTCCAAACTGTACAGCTTGCTGTAAAACACTGTTGATTAAGTATTCTCTTAAAAGACGCAGTGATTATCCTTTCTCCGTAGAGGAGAAGCTGCACTGGCTCTAAGTCTCTTTGCTGCAGAGTAATTGTGGGAAGAATCCTCTCCCCATCTGGCCTGAGTTTGTCAGAGGCCCCGGGTCTCTCATTACTTCATCGTGCACATGAGCAGGGCTGAGAACAGAGCGCCAAACTACAGGGGCAAAATCCCACCCACTTCAGCGCTTTCTCTTTCTCTCTCTATAACACTCTCCAGGGACCACCCGCCTTCCTGTTCGCTGTTCACATGCAGAGAAAGTATGCAATGCACTCTAACCTTCCCCCTGTATCCACCACCATCCGAATACCTCACCCCCTCCACCCACCCTTCCTAATATTCCCTGCCTGGCCTCCCTCAGCCACGCCCTGTCTGTGGTCAATGCAGCGTGAGAGGAACTGTGTCCAAACAATAGCTAGAGAGAGGCAGCGCTGTACTCCCTTAACATTTCTCCCTCTCTCTTCCTCTTCCTCACTGACTTCCTCCAGTAAAAGAACTAATCATGGCACAGTGGGGACTCCTGGGGCTCCAGTGCCAGATGAAAATACTGGCAGTGGTGGGTG